TCCTTCCCCACGGCCACCAACGGCATCTTCTCCTCTCGCGAAGGCGTCAAGCCTATCCTGGACCACACTGGTTTTGCTAAAGCCCCTTTATGGGCGTCTTTGCTTTCTTGACTGGGGCTTCTACTCGAGGGATTCGACTCCACACCCTTCGGGTTTGAAAAGCGCCTGTGGTGCAATTGGTCCAAGGGTTTCGGTTTCGCCTTATAAATGATGGGCCCCGGTGGGGTTTCGTTGACGAGGTCATTGGGAAGTTGACCCGCTTTGTTGTCGACAGGGAAGCTGGGATCATGCTCGTCGTATACCTTCAGTCCAGGCGTTGGATCCGTTTCCATTTCAGCCACAGTCTGCACTAAATTGGCGTCTTCATCATCTTCCTGGGTGTTGGTTTCTATGCTAGTCACATCATCCCGAAAAGCATCAGAACTCTGTCCAACCGGCTGTTCTTGGGGATTACTGGTATTAAATATCACGTCATCGGTACTTTTGAACATCGACTCGTCTGCATCTAGTGGGGGCTGAAAAGACAATTTTTCCAAACTTTCCTTCTGAAGACTTACTGGGTCAGTTGGTTCACCCTCCTGATCTTCTAGATGATCGGTATTGTCCTCCATTTTGAAACGACTAACTATAATTGAATGAAAAAAATAAATTATCTAAATTTTAATCGATTAAATAGAAGTAAGATTAAGAAATCAAAATGAAAAATTAGATCAAATCAAGACATTAAAAAAAAAGTTAAAGAAGCTCTTTATTAGAGGCACTGTAATTTCCTCTTTCGCTACAACTCCCTTTTGATGTTTAGCTTTCATATCTAAATAAATACATAGCGTAGCCTCCAGCAAATGCAATAGGGGCAAAAAAAATCTGTAAGAATATAAAAGAAAAGATCTAGACTATAGGAGGTTATTTACAAATACATCCTTGAAATAGAAAATCAAGAATTAAAAATACCATATCGTGCAAGATGCAACTAGCCCACAAGCATCCCCACCCCCTGCGTCATAGTTCCATCCCGTCTATTGGTTCCTACACAGGGTCAAAAATCTATGCGATTTGCTTTTTAACAACTTCATCTAACCAGTTTTCTTGTTCATCATCAGTGAGGTCCTGTCGACCGCACGCCGTGTTCTTGAGTAGGAATACGGTGACGTCGCCGGTGTCATCGCCGACTAAAATGACCGAGGTTTCCTGCTCGGCGAAAAGCACGGTCTTTAGGCGACGGCGATCCTCAAATTGCACGGTGGCGCGCGGGTAAATATTATCCAAGATCGACCACACCTCTAGATTCCCATGCCCCGACACCGTTGCGAACATCAACGCATTGCAGTACGACCACGCCACGTTCTGCACCGCGTCTTGGTTCGCGCTGTCAAAGGTTAGGCGTTGGGTAATGTGCCCAACCTCATAAAGCCGCGTCGTCCAGTCCGCGGAGCAGGTCAAAAAATAATTGCTGTTAAAAGGAGACCACGCAATACGATAGACCAACTCCGAGTGAGGGGCGTAATCCAGGTCGTGGACCTCGGTTTGGCTTTTCTTACACTGAAAAATCGACCCGTCCTCGGTCCCGACGATGTAAACGCTGTGATCGGTGGGGCACACGTCAAAGCACATGCCCCCCGCTTGATGCGAGAGAACCGCGTCCTCGGCGGCCTTCCGACGCCGACGATAGCCAGACGCGTTGTCGGCGGCATCCACGTCCTCGACGAAAATCGACTCCGCCTGCGCGCCCGGTCTTCGTTTGAGGTGCATCAAATCCGGCGCGACCCGTTCGACGGCCTTGCTGACCACCCACTGCATCACACGTCCGTCGGCGGAGGTTGACATGAGGAATTCCCCATGCTCCTTCCCGCCCAGGACCCACTTCAGCTCCCACACCGCGCCCGTGTGAAGCCCGGTTGAAACCGCCGGGACGATGGACGGGGAGACGGTGTCCTTGAGGATATCATAGACGACAATCCCGCCGGAGCTATCCCCCACCGCGAGCAGGCTCGGGTGGTGGTACGAAAACGCCAACGACGTGATCTCCACGTCGTTCGCAAGCTCCAGCACCAACTCCGGCGCGAGAGGGTTCTTGAGCGACCAGAAACACACCAGCCCGCCATTTTTCCGGAGATCCCCGCCGCCGCTCTTCACAATGACGGAGCTCTTCCAGCGCTCCTCCTTCTCGCTGCTCGGGGGCTCGTCGTTATCCTGCTTTCGCAGAATCACCCGCCGCACGCCGTAGCCGACCGCCAGCACGTCCGTCTGCTTGCGATTCCACGCCATGCAGTTCACGCTGCGTCCCTGCGTAAGGGGGGAGTGGTAGCGCCAAAGTGCCGTGATGTCGCCGGAGAAGTACAGCTCCGGCAGGTCGCCGCCCGGGGCGGCGGGGTGGAGGGGCTTCACCTCGCCCGGCGTCGTCTCGGGCTCGGCCTGGGGGCTCCCCTCGGTGTCCTTCTCCGCCTCCTCGATCACCCCCGAGGAGGGCGACCCCAGTGTGGGGAGCAGCTCCCCCAACCCGTGCGGGCCCATGTGGGGGGTCCGCGCCGCCCCGCCCCCGTCCCCTCGCCGCTGGGCGATGGGCGAGAGCCGCGCGCTCTCCTGCGGGGTCATTTCGATCCCGCGG